TATATTTATCTTTAATTAATCATTATTTAATTAAGCATTCTTCTTTAATATAATTCCTCTGTTTAACTTTAATAAATTTAGTTTTTAATGAAATAAGGATGTAATAATTAATTGATAAAATTTTATATTTATCTTTAATTAATCATTATTTAATTAAGCATTCTTCTTTAATATAATTCCTCTGTTTAACTTTAATAAATTTAGTTTTTAATGAAATATACATATAATAATTTATTGATAAAATTTTATATTTATCCCTAATTAAGTTCCACTTAAATAAAAGTAAAATGAGAATAAACATATTAAATGATATCTTAAAAAAAAAAGTAGATAACTAAATTTGAACACCACAAACTAATTGCTAGTTTTTTAAAATTGAATAGAGGGAGTATGTTGTAATCATCTCCTTAAAATAAGGGTAAAATAAAAAAAATGTATTGAACAACATCTAAAAAGAAAAAATAGATAACTAAGGCTCTATTTAGTAAGATTTTGGTTTTGGGTTTTAAGTTTTCATTTTTTTATAAATTTAATAACTATTACCATATTTAGAAATCAAATTTTTTTACTCTCTCTGTTAATTTTTAGTAGATTTAGTTTTTTTATCTTATAAAATAAAGATGTAATAATTTATTAATAAATTTTTATATTTATTCCTAATTAAATATCACCTAAATAAGATTTCTTATTTAATTTATGTTACAATTATCTTTTAAAACAAGGATAATATAAGAAAAAATGCATTAAATAACATCTTAAAATGGAAAAGTGAATAGTTAAATTTAAACTCTCAAATAGAAAACTAAATCTATTAAATTAAATAGATGGAGTATAAAAATTTAAATTTATTAAATTTAATTTAATTTACTAATTACTAAATATATAAAAACTAGAAGGCCAATATATATATATATATATATATATATAAATTAACAACCAAAATCTCAAAACCAAAATTATACCAAATGGGGTCCTAATTTAAATGTCCCAAATTGAAAATCAAATCTATTAAAGTTGAAAAGAGAGAGTATAACATTATGAATAATGATAGTAATTGATTTCTATATATAATTTTTATTGAGTAGTTTTACTTAATAAAATAAAATCAATTATCATTTATATATTACTGTGAAGAGGGAGTATATGCCTAAGTTAATTTGTCTTAAGAGGCTAAAACCCTCTAAATAAGTTCCTAAGAATAACAATAAAAAAAATTATTGAAAATTAAATGCATCTCCTAATTATATACTGTAAATAAATTAAGATATAAATAAAAAAAATGGGATCAGATAAGATCATAAAAATGACAGCATCTACACACTCTAATCTGTAACAAGATTACTCCAGGAAAAATAAAACAAATATAAAAAATGCTATGATAAAATAATACTCACAGACTGACTGGAAGAAACAGCAGAGATTTGACAATGTTAGCTGTAAGGGAAAATGCAAGACAAGATATAATTATATATAATAAAGGATGGGTGCAAGAAGAGGTAAAGAGAGATTCGGTATTCTTTGCCTCGTTCACAAACAAAGAAAGGCATATAAGCATATCTTTATCATGGATTTAACCTGAACGGCAATTGATGCTTTCTCCTGTACATGGCTGGGGAAAGTGAAAACGTAAAGAGTAGGAATGGAATGTTGAATGCAATGTGAGTCACATTTCAGGTTGCACCATGTAACTAGCTTGTTCCATGAGTGTCATTAAGGCAAGGGACACAATTGCAGCTTGGAAACAAACAGGCTCAAACCATGGATAGTCTGGAAGGAAGTGCAAGGACCAGACCCAGATCGAGATTTACTGCAAAGGGCAGTGTTTGAATCCAATGACAGAAAAAAAGAACTGTGGAGCCTACAATAGCAAGAGTAAGAAAGAGCAAGTGCATCTATGGAATGTGCATCTATGTATGACACAAATTTAAATTTTTGTGGAGATGACTGATAATGGCTAGATATTAGTTTGGTGGATCTAGCCTTATGCTTATTCATTTGTTTGTATGATTAAATGCAACAGTGAAAGCATGTCCGGCGTTAATAATTTCCATTTTTTGTCCTGATTCTTATTTCTTTTCTAATAAGGTTTCTTAAACTCTACAAATAGTTCAAAAACAAGATTTAAGGCTTTTGAGAGAGATCAAGAAAGAGATAATTAAGGGGAATTAAACATCAAAAGAAAATCAAGACTTCAGATTTTATATTGTCACATTGGTTTTGCTTACCCTTTAATTTTATTTTATGATGTCAGATACTATTATATTCATCATGAGATTTTAGTTTTTTTTTTCTCCAATTATTAATTAATTTAGCTATCTAAGACTATGATATCACTTGGTCAAATGGATTTAAAATTTCATGATTTTTATACTTTCAAAATTTATTATTTCATATAGAATATATATTATTGTTTTTAATGCTTTTTAATGATTAGTCACCATTAAAATTGAATTGAAGAATATAATTGAAACCGAAAGGAGATGTTATGCAATAACTTCTAGTAATATATATCAAAAATTGAACAAATGACTAATGTGATTCATGTAGCATAAGTGATAAGTGAATTTAATTTTCTATGTAAATTAGGGAATTTTACAGAATATAATATATTTTTATCTATTTTAATTAACATAGAGATATAATGGGCTAACAAGTGAAGATGGATTTAGTATAACTTGATAATGTATATTGAATTAGATGGAAAATCTCACTATTACATGGTAATAAATACTTTGAAAGTATATTAATCTAAATTTTATATTAATTAACTATGGTGAAATCAAATGCATTAGAATTTTAATTCTTGGCATTACTTAAAGTCAAGTTAGTTTTTTTTAATTAGTTTAGTTAATTAGTTTATTCAAGTCATTTAATTACAATTGTTTAAATAAAATTAGAATTTGGTTTTTTTTTTTTTTGGTACATCTGAATGGGTTATACAAGAGAAGATAGCTCTTCCCTTTCCCTAAATCCCTCCTCACCCGACTCAAGATTCGAATTTGAGATCTTCAACTTGAAATCTCAAGCTCTTAACCATTGACCCACCCCATTGGGGTTAGAATTAGTTAATTTTGATGATTAATTAGTTTAGTCTCTGTGAGACAATACTTAATTTTTATCATTATATTGCTTAAACTGACTAGTACTATTGCCATAGTGAAATTAACTCATCACCTCCAATACTTAAATTCTTTTAAACTTCAAGTTAGGTTTCTTTTTTGTAGTTTCTTTTTTGTAATACAATTGTTATAGTTTTGTATTATCTGCAATTCCTTTTTTCCATAATGGTTGTCCTTGCAATAGAATGCTCCATTGTAATTTGCTAATTCGTGCATGCTGAACAACATACAAAACTATCATTAGTCTCTTTTGATTTCTTGCAGTTTTTCATTTTAATTTCACAATTTGGTTTTAACTAATTGTTGGTTGAAATCTCTTAAAACTTTACACTACAGCTAATTAAGAAGGTAAGAGAAGAATATATATTGGTTTTGTATATTAAACCGCAGGATGGTATTTGGAGATACCAATGTTGGGAGATGTTGCTGATGAAGTGATGATATGGTGAAAGGTAGAGAGGTGCAAGATGTGGAGTCTCCTCTCAATAAGCTATTGGTAGCTAGTTCATGACTGTAAATTTCAATTATCTGTTCTCTGAGCAGATGAGTTTAATTACTGTTTCTGAATTTCATTTCCCAGGATACTTACAAGTATGCATGAACCCTGTGCATCTAAGAATGAACTGAGATTAACTGCTATTCATAAAGTTCCAAGCATGTTGTTAGATATGCGTGATAGAGAATCTTTAATTTAATGATTCAAATTAAACATGCTCTCTACAACATATATCAATACTTGAGCATGAGAAAGAGAACTATTTAAGGAATACACTCAATAGATTAGCCCAGCAGCATGTGTGTTAAATTTCTGATTGGCCGTGCGTTTCCATTTTTCATTAGGTTTGTTTGTGGAAGTGAGAAAAGAGGCAAAAGATTAGTAGTACAAAATAAAGAAAATGTTGTGGCTAAATAATAATAATAATAAAGAAAATGTTTCCTTCTCAATTACAACTCATTAAGCAATACATTGCTCAGTGAAATAAGTTTTTTTAAGAATTCAAATACATTTAAATATCTTATTTATACTAAATAAATTACTCAATTGCGTCCCCAATACCCCTGCAAAGCGGGGTGAGGACCACTCGTGTATATATAAAAGGAAGGATTGCGAAAACACACACACAAGAACTAAAGGTGATCGATCTGGTAGCTCAGGACCAATAGATATATGGTGACCCATACTTTGCCATTGTGAAATTAGCCATACACAGCCAGATGAAGGTGAGTAGTTCTCCACCCTTACTTGGTTGTTGTGAATGCACACTTGGCCTACATTTACGCGCAGCATGACACATTACCTTAACCCATCCTTTTCTCAATTCCTCCCAGGAAATTGTCCCGACCTCAAGTTCCATGACTAAACGTTTTCCTCTAGCAGTAGATAACATTTTTAGAGTCTTTCCCTTTTCAAATTTAGCTGAAAGAATTTTGCTGCTGGCATCCTTTTCATTTGAGACTAAACTCCAATCTAAAATTGACAGGGTCTCTTTATGTGCGTCTTTCAATACATTTTCCCAATTGTTGGACACGGTGGCCATCATAGCAGGTTCCATCTTCATAAGGTAAAACATATAATCCGAAATTAGCTTGCAAATTGTTCTGTCTTTTTCTGTGCTCCCAGGTGAAGACCCTTGGAAATCTCCTTGGATGGATAATTCTGTGGCTATATGAAAGTCTAAAAGATTTTGTGCAAAATCTACATCAACTTTTAGGTCTCCTCGCCGAATAACGTCCTGCACATCCTCAAAAATACAACGCCAGTAATGTGGGTCATCTCCAAAATTTTGGAAGGACAGACATCGAATTACTTTCATGGCTTCTAACAAACTCCTTAAAGGAAGAAAAGTAGCCAATGAATTCAACCAATTTGGATGGTCCTTAACACTATAAGTAATAAAATTTAATTGGGGAACTTTGTTAGACCACCTGCGTGCCTTCAATCTGGATCTCAAGACACGGAAGCATCCCGAATTATGGAAGTTGGCAATAAGAAACCAGTCAGAGAACACAAGTAAGATGATAGATATGAAATCCAAAGTCAAGGCCCCGATCAACAACCCATAGGTTAGCCAGGTATCAAACTCATTCAACTCGTAGTGCTTCTTAACTAATGAGAATGACAACAAGGCTCCCACGATGCAACTCAAGTTCAAGATGCGACTGATGCACCCAGCCTTGGAAACAATCACAGGCAACTTGGTGTGGAGAGCCTCAAACAATAGGCTTAGCTGAATTTCAATCTTTAGGAGCGCATCTTTTGCATAACATTCCTTATTTTTGCTTCCAAAGTTTGCAAAACTCTTCAGACATTGATATTTAGATAAAAAAGAGCCAAGAAGAGGTCTCCTGATGGTTCCAAACAAGTAAGCTGCAGCTTGTAATATTGACTTGGGATCCGAATCAACTAAAAATTCGGAAGGCTCATAAAATGAACCAGGATTAATAAAAAATGGCCCGGGGTTAACATAAAATGGCTGGATATCATCATCTTCCAATCCATAAGGCACGGGATCTGCAGTTTCCAACTTTTTGAATTGTTTTGGAATATGGAGTCCAGCTACCCTTTCTCCAGGCACCCAATTTTCACCAAAATGGTCAGAGCTTGCCAGATAAAAAGCACGGTTCCGCTCTGCATATTTGACTATGCTAGCAATTAATACTAAGAAGGTTGGGAGCCAAAGCTTGTTGTCTGGTAGGGACATAAGGAAGACGTAGAGTGTAGAACCAACTTGTAATATGAGCCCAAGCAAATGCCTTACCCATAACTCATTGTCCTCCAAGGCGAAGGACGCGATGGTATCGGGGCCACCAAGGTGTAACAGCAGAAAGGGTGCCCAAAAGGCCTGGATGTCACCACTATTGGCAGGAATTTTCAACTGGTTGCTTAAGATGGATCCAACGGTAAGCCCCGCAACCCAGTCTGCGAGCAAGTATACCAACCAGATCAACATGTAAACACATTTTCCCCATATTCCCCCTAGGCGCTTTCTTAATGGTGCAAAGAGAGTCAAGAAAACTTGCGCCAGGAGGCTTAGGATGACAAATGCTCTGACATTCCATGCATCCCAAAGCTTCATGACATTATCAGGAATAGAGAACACCATCGTCTCCTTTTCAAAGCTTTGTCGCGCTTTAGCTTTCAAAGCTTTGTCGCACTTTAGGAAAGGGAGCTTGTGTTGTTCAAAAATAACCATATGCAAATAAAATAGATACTAATTAGTCAATTACTCAATGCCAATTACAAGGATGCAAGATGAGTACCCGGTTCAGTGGAAACCATGCAATTGGATATCCAACAATATATTTCAGGTTCAATCCTTGAGAATCTAAAAACTGATATGATAGATTTTTTTCCCCCCCTAGAACCACCACCATACTATTTTTTGGAACTACCACCATACTAGACTGACCAACAAATACTTCAAACAGGAGCGCTGTTATTGTAACTAGATTTCAAGTGGCGCTTTATGTCGTTCGTTTGTATTAATTTCTTTAGATTTTTTT